TATAGAGAGCTGGCTAGCACATTTATATGATTTATTTTGGCAGGAAAGAATTTTAAAAATAATTCTATAATAATTCTATATAAAGTTGATTTAATAGTTGGCCATTCTAATAATCAGGAATTTTATTGCTTTTATAAACTGATTATTAATTGTGACTGAATAATTCAGAAGTTTCCTTCTTTACCACAAATAAAACAAATAAATTCAGTAAATAAAATAACTGTGGGTCTTCTAGATACAAGTTTTGGTGATATAGAAAATTCAAAAAAAGACTCGCACACTGTCTAAACTTGCAAAAATTGATTTACTTGCAGTGTTTTTGTGCTGGACTTTCATCAAGCGATTTCATTAATTTGCCAGATAAATATCCATCCATCATCTATACACCGCTTAATCCTCACTAGGGTCACGGGGGTCTGGAGTCTATCCCAGCTGACTCAGGGTGAAGGCAGGTTCACCTGGACAGGTAACCAGTCTATCACAGGACTACCCAGATGAATGTCCAGCATCAAAATGTTGTATTTCTGCAAGTTAGACGGTGTGCATACCCCTCTTCTATGCACCTGTCTCATGAAACAGTGAGACAACAGAGTTCCTTTGTCTTAAATAACAGTTGTACACAAAATAAAACATTAAAATACACTCATTCCTATCTGGTCACAAGGACTCGGTACACATAATTTAATATTCAGCATTCTGAGGATATCATTAGTTCACATATCCACCACTAATAAACACAGAAGTCAGAGAAAAAGAGGTATTTTTTCATGGCTTCATCATATTTTATGAGTTTTCTTCAGTATCAAAGTAATCTAGTGATAGTTGTCTGGACGGGAACTGCTCGTGGCAAACACTGTTTAATGATTAAAACAGAACAAATACAGGTTGATGAAACAGGACTCAAGAGAAGCACAGTGGAACCAGCGTAAATAAACCCTGACCATTATTAAAACCATTTGTCACTTTGGCTGTCATACAGACTCGCCTGTTTCTGCTCTTACGCCCAACTCAGTGTCAGCTCGTGTTCTCACCGCCGCTGACATCAACGTGTTTTCAAAAGAGAAAATATAACTTGTTAATTAGCTTAACTATACCGACGCAGAGAAGTCCAGTGGAGCTGAACACAGGCTGGTTCCACTTACTCTTCGTGTCTTGTGTTCCTTGTTGCCGTGAAGTGTTTCCTGCTCGCTGATCACAGGGTTCAACACATTAACCTTGTTGGAAACAGTCGCTCCAGCTTCAGCTCAAACCCTGATGCTGGATGCATGTGTGAACAGCTGCAACCATAAACACAACCGTCCCCTGTATCTGTCAGCATCATCTGAAGCTCACAGTAGAAGGACTAATTAATTGCGTCGCCTTTTATTACAGTTGAGATTGTAAATCACCTCCCTGTGCAACTTCAGACCCGATTCATTTAGTCCAAGATGCCGTAACGTCCGATAAAAACACGACCATTAAGACCATTAAGAAAAGCTGCCATTGTTTGTTTTTTTTCTCCTCTCAAACCCAGAATTCCAAAGTGTTTCTGCGCAGATTTGATGAAGACAAGTAATGAGTAATTGGGTTACTCAGAGGTTGCAGTTTTACAAAACAGCCTTGCATCAGGGAATAATGATGCATGTAATTATAGGCAAATCGCCTGCAGTGTCTCCCCGTTGATTGAGCTGTGTTTGGATTCCCTAAAGATGTCAGTCTTTCCTCCTCGTTCGCTGCGGAGACTGTCAGATGACGGGCCGTCTGCTTGACAGCTGCTTTCCCGCTCTTATCTGCAGAAGCTCCGAGATTCTGGAGGACGAGCATCAGCGCTGCGAATGAAAGGGCTCGGCGTAAACACAGATATGGAAGTGACATTGTGGTAAAAGACAAGAATAAAGTAACATATATCACTTCATGCTCACAGAATGTTTCATAATAATAAGCCGTCTTGCTGCTGCTATGGCTGTAGCAACACATTATACATGAACTACACCTGCTGCACTGTCATATATTACACAGCTCCTGCTCATGTCATTGTTTCTACTACTGCTTGTACTTCTGATGGTACGACTGCAAACATTCAAACTTGATTGCGTAATGTAGGATCTTGTCATTTGAAGGTTCAGATGCAGTTTGCTGCTGATGTTGAAGATGTGATGGTACCTTTTTATAACCGTTAATATCGTGTACCTTCTCTACATACAGGCCTGTATCGACCTCCTGCACCTTCTAGTTGGCTCAGTACCCCGTTACTTCCTCCTTTAACAGTAGTTCGACTTATAAAGCGGAACAAAACTCCAGATTTGCGGCCTGGAGAGGAATGTGAGGAGTCCTGTATTGAACTGTTGTTATTATTAAGACTTGTTTTCACGTCACTTGCTGTTTTTTATTCTGTTTTTATTTCCAGCTGGTGTTTGATTGAGTTCATTCAGCTAAACTACTTGGTCAGGTTTTGAAAAAGGTCATTTTATAGGACAGTGCTCCATTTTGCACTTCTTCACACAAGAAGTTGCTGACTTTATCGGGGTTCTGTTTATCAATGATCAGAATAAATGGACAACTAAAATATGGAGGAAGTTTCCACTGGTCCATACGTATGACAGTGATGTCTGATAGAAATAACCGTTCAGAAAGACTGATCAAACTGGGTGAATATCTAAAATACAATACGAACTATGAATGATGACTTAAATAATAATTTAATAGAGTATTTATTTATTGCCATTTTATTATTTATATCACCTTTAACTTTGTTTTTTCTTAGACTGTGACCATATTAGCTGCTACAAAGATGACGCCAAACGAAATTTTGTTGTATTTTTTGTACAATGACAATAAAGCTTCTTCTTCTTCTTCTTCTTCAAGTTAATTAAGATCGGCCTTGTCTTGCAGAGAGGCTTTCTTATGATTTCACATGACCTCAGCCACGATAAACACGGAGCAGGACAGTGTTTGAGGACAAAACATGCATCACATGTACTTTGTTATGTGGACTTGTGTCGGCCCCTTTTTTAGATCAGAGATAAAATAATATTTATTAGAAGAAACTGGTTGATTTTGCAATTTTTTATTTTTTGTTTAACTAAAACTGCAGTCGTTAATTAGTTTAATCACCACTGTTCAGATAACCAGTTAACTAGTTTGAGTCATTTTTTACAAAAAAAAAAGACTAATTTTCCTAAAATGGAACATTTTCTGATTACTGTCTCCATCTATGACAGTAAACTGAATATCTTTGGGTTATGGGGATGCCATCTTGGGCTTCTGGAAACATAAATTGATATTTTTCACTATTTTCCTACATTTAACAGACAGAATGATGATTTGAATGATTGAAGGCTGATTTTGATTTTGATTTGATTTGATTTGAATTTTGAATGCTGTTGTTTTGTTGCTCATTTTATGTTGGTGTTGTGTTGTTTTTTGGTGTAGCAATTTCCCTGAGGTCTTGTACCGAAGGGATTAATAAAGTTTTATTCTAATTCTAATTCTTCTAATTCTAGAATAACTTATCGATTAATGGACAAAATAATCAACAGATGAACCTCCAGAGTCAGTAGCAGAATAATCAGTTTCACTTCAACAGAATCTGAGTGTTAGAGTTCAGTGTTGAACAGTGAATGGACACATAATCCTTCTACGTACGATTCAATGAGATTAAAAGAGATGGAGGCCTAAAGTCATCGCTGCCCTGAGAGTCCACCTGCTGCTGCCGTCTCTGTTCTTAATGCCTCCATCAGTGTGACCTCCACCACCAGTACTTCTGCTGCTGTTAGTTTTATGGAGCTCCATCAGCAGCAGACGTCATCGTATTCACACAGGTGGAGCGGTTGGCCATGTTCTCCTCCGTCTCAGCCTCCTCCTTACTGGTGACGTGATTACAATCTGATGCTGTGTGCTGTGGTCAGTTCTCTGACCTCAGCAGGTCTGACTAAACTACCAACGCTCCTCCTCCAGGAGAGACAGCAGAGTATAAGACACTATGGTAGCTCAGACAATAAACATGAAAACATGAGGACTGACATCCTCTCATGTTGCTGTGAAGTCAGTGGTTGTGCACACGTGAGCTCCTGATGCTGTCAGAGATAAAGGAGACTTCTTCAAGGTCACCTCAGCAGTGTGGATCTGAAGGAGTCCAGTCTTGTTTTATCCACACATGATGTAGAGAAAAATGTGGATCGAGGGGCTTATTGTGCTCCAAAAACACAAAGCAGTGCTGCTCTCTCATCCTGAGCTGCTGAGAGGAAAATTAAACATGCATCAATGAAATCATATGAGAGCAGGTTGTAACCATGAGTCTGGCACACTGAGGGAACAGTGTGAGCTGCTGGACCTGTTGAACGATGAAAGGCTGACATTATAATTCCAAGCATGCTTTCTTGGTTAAAACACGAGAGATTACTTTCTCAGGTTGGAAATTTCCTCCTCAGATGATTTCATAGAAGCAGAGCCGAGCAGAGGGGCGTTGATCAGCCTCCCTACAGCTCACTCCTGCTGGTTTTCTGAAGCAGCCAGCGGGTGTAAAAGCTGAAAGGACATGTAACAGGTAACTTTTTCCCCTGTAACGCTGCGACATTACTCAATGAAAGGAAGCTACTGCGTTACACATTCGCGAGTAACGAGCCCGACGCTGACGAGTGGCTGTGCGTCTTGGAGAGGGCAGGGACGCCGGAGACGCGCAACGGCAGCAGCAGCAGCAGCAGCGCAGTCTGCTCGGAGCCACCGGTTGAGATCATTCAACACTCCCCAGCCAGCAGTCTGAGCGGACCGTGGATACAAATCGACACAAGCTCTCCCCAAATCCTCCCTCAGCGAACCATGGACGCCCCCCTCGGCCCCCGGAAAAGACACGAAAGCGACGGATGAGTGAGATCGGAGATGCTGCGCACCACGGCCAAAATCCTGGAGCTTTTCTGAACGAGGACTGTGGGTGTGTGTGTGCGCGTCAGGCTCGCCGTTACCTCCGGACTGCCCTCGCCAACTTCCCCCGCTTTCCATCAAGTCATGTCTGATACAGAGCGATGGGCAAGTTTGACGACAACGAGAGGATAATCCTCAACGTCGGGGGCACCAGGCACGAAACCTACAAAACCACCCTGAAGACCCTGCCGGGGACGCGACTGGCCCTGCTCGCCTCCGACTCGGACATCGACTCCGTGCTGGATCAGCTGCAACAAGTCCCCGGCTTCATCGAGTACAACGCGCGGACCAACGAGTACTTCTTCGACCGCCACCCGGGCGTCTTCGCCTACGTGCTCAACTACTACCGCACCGGGAAGCTCCACTGCCCGGCGGATGTGTGCGGACCGCTGTTCGAGGAGGAGCTCTCCTTCTGGGGCATCGATGAGACGGACGTGGAGCCCTGCTGCTGGATGACATACCGGCAGCACCGGGACGCGGAGGAGGCTCTGGACGTGTTCGAGCTCAACGTGGACAACGGAGAGGAGGACGACGAGATTGGCAAGAGGCTCGGCATAGAGGACGTAGCTGCCGACGGGAATGTGAGCCTGTGGAGAAAGTGGCAGCCGGTGATCTGGAATCTATTCGAGGATCCGTACTCCTCCAGGGCGGCGAGGGTAAGGGCGCACCGCTGCGTCTGGAGCTCTCCAAAAACACGCACGCACCATAACCCCCCACTTTACTCCACGATCCTTTTCATTCACAGAAACACTCACACTGACACATCTGAACAGCTTGTTCTCCACCACTCTCTCTCCCCCCTCACAAAAAAAGATCAAAAGTAATTTATAACGTGTTTTAAAAACTTGCTTTCCCCCTAAAAAGTGAGAAATCTTAAACTACTGTGAGCGCATTTCCTTCTAACCCATCTTTTAGTTTCCACTGCTGGAGCCTCATTTCAGAACAGGTTCAATTATGTCACTTGAAAATAAGCAGATTTTTTTTTTCCACTTGTCAAAAGCAAACAAGGTGTTAACACTGTCAGGATGGATATTCATAGCAGCAGCAGTGGATTGGAGGTGTGTAGGCCTGAGCCCAACGCAGGCTGGAGCCTACATTTGTTGCTCTGATGCTGATGATTTGAGCCACACATCCTGTATCTGTGCCGCTCTGGTTTTGCTGTAAAGGTTTTGTTTATGGGCTCCAGAAATGTCATTTCACACTGTTTTTTTTTTTTAGTTCAGATCTCAGTCAGTGTTTCTGATGAATCCCAGTGATGCTCAGTCTGAGACAAACACAAGTAGGAATGTGTGGGACTTTAATGTTTGCTAAAATTAGTGCTTCATGCTGGGAACAGAGAGATGGAGACTTATAGGCTGCATCTTTGTCTTCATTTGTTTTGCACTCAGACACTTATGGTGTGTGTGTGTGTGTGTGTGTGATGCATGACACACTGATTTAACAACCCAGATAACATCCTACACATCAGCTAAAGTTTGGGAACAGTTAACTGTCAGTGTGTTTACTGGACTCACATCTGCAACAGTTTCCGTCTGCTCTCCGCAAAGACAGGTGCTCTGCTAAGCTGGCCTCAGGCTGCTGCTGAATTCTGGGTAATGGGCAGCAAATCGCTCCCTCGTGTGCAGCAAGAAAGAGCAGGTTGTGACGAATGAATGCAAACAGCCACAAAAACGCCTCGATGACGTTGCAGGCGACACGTTCTGCAGCTTGTCTAATGAAACAGAAACAGTCAGAACCTGCTGCTGCTGGTGTCCAATCTGTGCCTTCAGCTGCAGTGACATCAGGATCCAGGTGTGGTGGTGGTGGAGGTCACGCAGCCTGAGAGCTCCGGAGAGCCTGAGAGCAGCAGCACAATCCGTCACTTTAGGGGAAATAAAAGCAGGGCTGGAGTTTGAATTTTACAAACTGAATTCATGGTCGCAGATGTTTAGCGGTGCCGTTGTTCTTTTTTTTTTTTCTAAAGCCTACAAAACCACATTTATTCCTCACAGAGGTTTAAAAGTCTTTGCAAATGAGAGGAGGCAGCAAGCACATACATCAGCTAGAACATCCCTTTGTGTTTATATACGGTGCATGTATTAGAATGAAGAAGAAAACGATTCGTGTTGTGAGGATCTTTCCAAATTAACATTCTTTGCGTCTTTACATTTCCTGCGTAGTTTTGTCTCTCCTGGTGTCTGCACCTCATAGCAACAGTGGCATCCTTCTGTAAGTCAGACAGATGCTTTCTATCCAGGAGATGATATTAACCCTCTGAACCACAAGCAGTCATATTTTTACTCACTCATTTTTCTTTTTTTTTTTTAAAGTTCTGTATCTCTATGGAAACAGCACAACCCTGACTATAAGAAAAGAGAACTTAAACATGTCTTTAATGCGGTATGACACCATAGACGTCATGATTTATGGCATACAAGTCACGATAAAACAAACAAATGAAGATGAGTTTCCTTCATTATTTATTATTTATTAAAAAAGGATTGAAGCAGTCGTGGAAACACAGCAGCTTCACATACGATACATATTTTATTGTTTCTATTTTTACAACCTCTAAAAGTTGATTCCACTCTGCACATCAGCACGACAACGATATGCCGCCGTGCTGATTGTATCTCCAACAACTTGCTCCTCTGTTGACCAACATCAAGCCATGCTGCCGTCTCTTTGTTTTTGCCACACAGTCGGTCAGTCAGAGCTTCTGGATCGTGCTGAGCAGCACAAAAGTCCTTTTTTTGTTTGTTTGTTTTAACAGGATCTGATGTGAATTATTTATTTTTGGCAGTTTTTTTTTTAAATGAGACACGTCGCATAATATGATTTTTATGAAATATCAAAAATCCAAACATGTCTTTGGTAGTTTGTCTTGGTGGAGGCGCACATGCCCTTCAAACGTGGGGCTTCAGAGGGTTGATGCATATCGATATAACCCGTACTTTATGGTAACCAGTCTAATTGTTTCTCCTGGATGGATAACCACTGTGCTTCACTTGAATGTACGTGAAAAATAATTTATATTCATTTATTTATTTATTTTAATGTTTCACAATCAAACGATCATATGGTGAAAGAAAATCAGAGATGACGTCACAAATGATCTTTTTTTAAACTCATGTTCGATCCCCATTTCAGAAGCTTTCACCATGAATCATTACTGCACTGCCAACATAATTAAAGGAGCTCGTTCTCACCACAAGCATAGTTTTGACGGGTTGAATTGACACAATAATTCTGCATCAGCTTAATATTGTATGTGTTTATTAAATGTCTGCATTAGTTGATTGAAAGCTAAAATCAAGTTGAGGAAACTGAACGCGACTGGCTTGATAAGTACAACAGTGGAGCAACTTGTTTCATCAAACTCTAAATCTTGTGTTGACAGTTATGGTAACACATAATACATAAAGATTCCTTTTAAATAACATGAAAACAATAGTTTGAACAACTAATTTATGAGTAATCAACTTATAAAACTGTTTATACAACCAATTATTAAATAAATGGAATTAAAATACCTTTGATTGTAGAGGAAAAGCTGATTCCTATAACTCAGTCTAGTTTGTCGGCTCAACACAACTCCAGTAGAACTTGTTATAACTGGATGCAAACTGTTGCAGGAATCTTTTAGTTGTTGTTGAGTATAATCATTGATCTTATCATTCCACCACACAGGATCAGGATTACTGTCGGACTGCATTTATCCTGCTTTATTTCCATATATAGTGTAAACAGAAGGTCCCCACTGATAAAACTCTTCTTTACCAAACAAATATTTTTACTGCTTACATTTTTTTCAATAACCTAAATTTAGTTTAGACTTTATACTTGCTGTGTCACAGACACTTTGGTTCTCTGATTACATCACTCAGGTGAGCAGGACGACTATGACTTTTATAAAAGTTTGAACAAAAGAAGCAGCGTTGGTGATTTACACAAACACTCCATCAGCTGTTTTTTTCACGCTAAGGGCAGGAGACAAACATGCGTCGTCAATTATGCAGCAAGTTTTCTGATCATCCTGTGAGAAGAGCTCGAGTTTCAGTGACCACAGTTTGTGAGACCAGAGGACCAGTCGGTCACAGTCCTGCCTGTTGACCCAATCAATATTTAATTGCTTCCTCTGTCGCCCAATTCCAGACTCCCCTCTCTGTTTTGACTGAGCGGGGAGGCGTTGGCCAGGAGGACGGTGGTGCTGCCGTTGACCTTGTCCTCCTCTTTCAATCCATCAGCAAACTTTCAGTGAGGATGAAGGCAGGGATTTGTCTCTACGTATGAACGGAATGCTAATCCAGAATTTTATAATTAGCTCTATTTCAACTTGATATCACACCTGCAGCTCCACCACTCCCAGAGCTGCTGTAAAATTAAAGTCACATTAACTCAGAGTGAGCTTTTACGGCCACGGCTAGATCGTTATTTTTAAAATGCAAATGATGAGGACCAAACTCCGTCAGTCTGCTGTTCCTTGTTCTCGCTCACCAGACTTCATTGGTAATTTCTTGGAAGTGTTTCCTGGCGATCGCTGTGCTGACGGAGGAGCTAGCAGGGATGGAACAGAGGTAAATATTGAGTTAGTTTCAGCGATGCATTACTGGCAGCAGAGAGCTGATGGAGCCCAATGCTTGTGTTTACAACACGCATGCATCTGTCTCCCTGTAGCAACACTTAGCCGCCATGCACATGCACAAATGAAGTCGCGCCACATTTCTTGGCCACCGGTACAACACAGGAGCATCTGTTTCTATAAGCGCCCCTCGAACCTTTGTCATCTCGAGGAGAGCAACATTCGCTGATGCAGATAAGGCAGCTCCTCCGTGTCTCCTGTGGTATTAAAGGCCAGCTGGCTTTTGGTTAACCTTTAATACAGCCTTTGTGTTTGTGTTGTAATGCAGAGTGCGTGAGCCTGAAAGAGCCCCCAGAGCATCAATCTGCCCCCTGACAGGGCATTAGGAGAGTAATGTAGACTCATCCTCTGTGGAAAAGGAAAGGTGTGATTTCCCCTTTGACCCTGACACCACACAGGGGACAGTATTAACAATAAAGTGCTCTTTGACAGTGGAAATGATACGAGACGTGGTGGTGTGGGGCTGATGGGTGGAGCCCGGAGCTCCTGGGAACATTCATCACTATCTGACACTCATGTGATCGGTCACCACTCACAGAACGGCTCTGAAAGTCATGCTTACTGTGAGTCATGCTGAGGATGTTGTACGTGTTTGTGTTAACCTGAAGCAAAACGGGCTGAATCCATTCTGCAGAGAGCTGTTCACTGTCTCTAAAGACTTTGCATTTAACCCTCTA